CCTCCTCCTCCTCCTCCTCCTCCTCCTCCTCCTCCTCCTCCTCCTCCTCCTCCTCCTCCTCCTCCTCCTCCTCCTCCTCTCTCTCTCTCTCTCTCTCTCTCTCTCTCTCTCTCTCTCTCTCTCTCTCTCTCTCTCTCTCTCTCTCTCTCTCTCTCTCTCTCTCTCTCTCTCTCTCTTTCTCACCTTCTCCTACTACTCGCACTCAACACACACGAAATCCCGCGTGTTGCCTCGGAGTCGCGTATAACTTTACTTTAGACTGTATACCTTACGACAGAAGATCTTCCGTTCCAGCGCGATGTGATGATCTTAACATCCCATGAACGCGTCTAGCGACCCGCGGCTGTCTTGCTGTGCGTAGATCTTCCGTGTGAAAACTCACCGCGTCGCGCGATCTTCGTCACTTTGAAAACGCGCTTGAATACTGTCGTCGTTGTTGTTGCACGTTATATCGGCAAATCGTTGTCGCGCAGAGATTCGCGTTTATCAGTGGTGTTGGCTATTTCGAGCGTGGCTTATCGCTACTCTCTCTCTCACTCTCCCTCGCCCGATATCGATTTCGTGTCGCGGCGAATTAATCAAAGGAGTGCGGCGAGCTTATTAGGCGTCGTCGTCGATGTTTAGCGATTTTGCGAGATTCTTTGCTCTCGTAGGCCGTGTATAAAGGAGCACACGATGGCACACGCGTTTCCTGCTCGATTATTTTCGAGGTGTGAAAGCGGATGTACACAGGCGGGGAATAGGATGGAGAGATATCTCTCACCGGAGAAAAAGCGAAGAGGTAAAGCTATATATCGACAGCGATTAGGCTCGGACGGCCCCGATCGGTTTAGGCGAGATGGCGAGATGGCCGCTACTTCTGGCTCCGTGATAAGGCGATGGCAAAGGTTGTCAATCTCATCTATCGACTCCTCGTTTACTTTACTTCCTTTGTCCTCTGTCGATCTTACAACGCGCCACACTCGAGAAGCTGTAGTCGGGGCTGTAGTAGTGGTAGTAGTCGAGCAAAGCTTGAAAGCCTTCGAAGCTAAACGTCGACCAGAAGGAGTGTGCTCTCTAGGGCTTTTGTACGAGTATCTCTCTTCTTTTATACACACAGGCTGCAGTTGGTCGCCGCTGAGAGTGTATGGGCGCGCGCGTGTGTGTATATGTGTTTGCCTACGTATGCGTGTCTCGAAAAGCCGGTCGTCCTTCAAGCCGGTTTCAAACCAACGCGTGTGTCTCGCGGTGGCGAGTCTACTGGAAGGAGCGGGACGGTGGTGGTACTCGTACAGCGGAGGAGCTGGTGCAGGACCGTGTTCACCACGCCGATGCTTCTGATGAAGTAAGAGAAGAAGGTGGGGGGAGAACGAAGGGCCGTTCCGTGCGTGGAAAGGTGGAGGAAACCCTTACGCGCCGTCCTGCCGGGATCGGGAGGAACGGTGGCGCGCGAGTCGGTTATTTCAGAATTCCGAAGATAGGACACTGGAAGAGGAGGAGGCGACGGATGTGGACGCTGAAGAAGAAGCGTGCGAAGAGAGTGGTAACGTGGAGACGTCGGCGTACAGGGGCGGTAAGAGAGTGGTGTTGTAAGCACGTGAAGACGGCGGGCGACAAAGCGGGCGTAGAGGCGACAAGAGAGAGCAAAGGTCCGGCAGCCGGGTCGCGTCTGGGCGTCGGGTCGTGTCGGGGTCGGACCCGAATAGAAGAGGGGGGGTTCCAAGGGTGGCAGAGAGGAGAAGGCGCGGAAATGGCGAGACAGAAAGAGGAGGGGTTTCCCGGGGGGGAGGGGGGGGGAGATAGGGGCCAGGACGGGGGGGGGCCGGGGGAAGGAGAGGATTGCGAGTTAGCGAGTGACGTTGCGCTTCCGTTCCTCGGATTTACGTCATTTATTCGGTGTGCTGCTGGCTCCTCCCGCGCGGTCGAACTCCGGTTCCTGCTGTTCTGGAAACATACCAAAAGCGAAAACTCGCGTTACTGCGGATGCAAAGGCTTAAAATGCTTTCTGTTTCGGGCTTCTGGCCGGTTGGGGATGAGGAGCGGCGGGGCAGGGCAGGGGAAGAGTTAAGCGCAAGCCGCGAACAGACAGACAGATAGAGTCGGAAAAGCGCAGGTCTACGCAATGCACATGCACGCTCGAGCAAACGACAAACGTTATCAGTGTCGAGATTGCGGACACATTGCGATTTGAATCCGCCAAAAATATCGACGGATCGGCGCAGCGACTCCTCTCTCATCAATACACAATCTCATACACACACACACACACACACACACACACACACACACACACACACACACACACACACACACACACACACACACACACACACACACACACACACACACACAGAGCTTCAACGCGGATCGCGCGCGCAGAACTGCCGAGTCTGAGTACAGATTCAAAGCATACTTTCTGCAACATTCGCGATTCGCGAGAGAGAAACCAGTGTCCATTACAAAAGAAGTATTAGATTCAAAGCTTGTCTACAAGTCAGCAAAAACATTGAAATCTTGGCGACTTTGCAAATACAACTTGTAACTTGCAATACCGAAGAGATTATGAATCGTTTTATTTTTCACTTTATCTTATAATTCGAACAGTTTAATTTAATCCAGTTAATTGATTTAGCTGAAATATGCAATATGGATATGCAATATCAAAGCAATATTGGGCAACCCTAACCGACGATTAGTATCGCATACCGGAGAATGAAATGCCGTATAATTTAATAATTTTGAACCGTGAAAACTCATCGCGCCCCATAACTCTTCGCGATCTCTCACGTACATTAGCCGAAGAAAAACTATGTTTGCTTACGTGCAGCATAAACACCGGGGCGCGGAGCGTTTCGTAGATGAAGAGGGAAACGGGGGACGCGGGAGTAGACGCGGGAGTAGACGCGGTCGTGCATTTTATGTACGACAACGTAGAGACAGTTAAGGCGAAGAAAAAGGCACGCGCGCGCGGGCAGAACTGTAGTACAATTTTCCGTCGCGCTAGTAAGCCGCTTACGAAAAGCGGGCTCGAGTCGCCGTTTCTCATGTTACCTAGCGCAAGTTACGGCGACGCGCGCGCGTGTGTGTGTGAGTGTGTCCGGCACGCACACACCGATGAGCGACCGCGCTGCATTGGCAAAGAGAAACGTTTCGAGTGTGATCGTTTGTTTTCGCCGGGATTCGCACGTCCGAGAATCGCTTAAATAACGCTACGCGAAGACTCCGTAAAGTTTCATCGTCACCAGATATCAAACGTAATGTCATGTGCTTAGAGACGTGACTCAGGAATTAACTATGTGTGTTTACAGTATCATCTTTTGCAGATACACCTTGTGCAATGGTTTTGAAATTCATTTTTGACAAAATTATTTTATCCAAATCAATTATTCATTCATTCAATCAATCATTTGTAGAATCTGGTTAACTATTAATTTTCAAAACTAATATTAAACAATAAATTTTAAGGATAGATTCTTTAATTAATTTAAAATTGAATTCATCACAGAAAAAATTTCGCAAGAATACGCTTTAAAGTAACGTCCTCCTCGTTATTTTAAAGAAAACTGAATAAAACAGCATCCGACAAAAACTCGAATACATTAAATTACAAAAATGTTGCTCGACACAATAATTTAAGCATTATACATCTTCAAGTATATTTACGCCAGTTAGAAAACAAATAACAAGATGAAAACGGTTTCCGCGTGGCTCCAATATTGCTGCATTTCAAGATATTTCGTAACTTTCAAGTTGTCTATCCAATAACAGTCCGAACATATGTATTGATACCCGAATAAGTGCGCGAGTCCGATAAATCCGATAAATTTCAATAGAATCAACAGTTGTTAGAATCAACAACTTTAGATCTAGAAAGCACATCTGGAAAAATATGACGAATAAGCTTACATCGCATGTGAAATACATGATAAATTGCCACATAAAGGAAATATGTCAATTCAGCTTTAACCTTTATCCAAGCAAACAGAAATCCTTTTTTTTTTTTTTAGTTTTATGAACCTATTGAATCTATTTTGTTTCTTTGTTCGTTGCTACAGTTCGTCTGAAATATTTCAATTTTCATTTGCTGACAACCTTTATTAACCCCGAGTTATATTCGTAATTGCATTGCACTATTAAACGCATATCATATTTTCATTCGTATATTGATATATATTTTTTATAATTATTTTACAATAGATTCTTATTCCATTTGAATGCCTCAAGGAAATATGTGATTATATCGTGTATAAAACAGTAAAACAACAAATGTTTTAGGATTATAAAAATTGATACGTTTCACAAAACCAAATATTGAAATATCACTATTAAATATCAATTATATTAACTGTTATATGTATATAATGTGTATGTATTAATATTAGAGTAATATTTAATATTCCTAAATGTTTCCCAATATCAGATTTTAAAGATACATTTATATTGATTTGTAAATGCATACCAGAGATATGACATTTCAAATTATGTTATAATGTATATGTATTACTAAATATTAGCGCATCGCAAAGTTAAATTACTCCGACAAAAATGTCACTTGGTCGTGATAAAAAATATATCGTTCAGGGCTAATATGATTCCGCATGCAGCTGAATCAGATCGCGTGCGCTGTTGATCTGGAACGAATCGTTGATACCGCGGCGGCACCGACGTAAAACTTTGATCGGGAAAAACGAGTCAGTCGGCTTTATTAATAATTATTACGCGCAAGGAGGAGTTGAACAGCAGACAGACACGGCTAACGTACAGATCTTTCTCTTTCTCTCGTGACTCGCGTGCACGAGAGCTCCACACTTTATCTCCCTCTCTCGCTCTCTCACTCTTTCTCGTCTCATTCTCTCGTTCCGCCGGTTGAATCGATATACGTGCACGAATGCGGCTTCGAGCTTCGTCCACTTCTTTCACGTGACTACCGCAGGAAAGAGGGCCGACCGAATCAATATCTCACACAGACGTTTCGACCTCGTCGCTGTCGCCGCGAGCTTCTCGCACCCTTCAAAGGTTGTTCTCATCGTCTGAACCGAATCTGGCAAATGCTAAACGACTGAATCTCTGATTAACCCCTTTTTTTGCCATACCCCCGACCGACGGACACGACGCGCGCGACATGTGTACGCTTACATTACGGCGTATTCGATAGCAATGGATCGACACTTGGTCAGTATTAAATTATACCGTAGAACACTAGACACTCCGATTAATCCCAAATGTCATTAAAAGTTACAGTAAGGGCGAATCTTTTGCATAACGCAAAATCGAATTAAAATATCGAGGATTCCAAATAACAAATATTTCTCTCTCTCTCTCTCTCTCTCTCTCTCTCTCTCTCTCTCTCTCTCTCTCTCTCTCTCTCTCTCTCTCTCTCTCTCTCTCTCTCTCTCCCTCCCTCCTCTCTCCTCCTCTCTCTCTCTCTCTCTCACTCTCTCTCTCTCTCTCTCTCTCTCTCTCACTTACTCTTAATCTTGTAATTAAGATGGAACACGTTTATGCACTTATGCACGCATCTTAAAAATTTTTCTACGCCAATTAAGATTAGTTTAATGCCTGTGTGTTGCAGTTTTACAAGTTTTAAAATTTCATTTAATTTTTGTAATCAAAATTCTCTAATAATATATTTACTAAAAATTAACTCTAAAAAATGTAAAATGTAAAATAATAAGTAATAAAAATTAATTAAAAAATAAAATATAAATTATTAACACTCAATTCATCAAAAGTATGCTTTAGTTTTCAATATTAAATAGCTATGTTCGGAAATTAAAATATACCGAAAGTAAATTCCTCTATCATTACGGAATTTAATTCAATTTTGGGTATACACTCGTGTATGTTATTTTTATTTATACGCGCAACGTTTTACACAAAACTCAAAATATATAATAAAAGCGAAATAGATCTTGTGCGGATTTCAAAATAGCGATATAGCGGATATTAGCCAGAGATGCGGTTTTCGCATTGCGAGCTTTTATTTGTCGGGCAGTCCATTTATAACATCGCCATTATAATGCATCGGTTGGATACGTGATTGTGGTCGACTGGACAAATCCATCGACGCCGAGCGACGCCGCCAACAGAGAACCAGCGATTCGATCGACAGAGGATGAGCGGACACACGGAAACGAGAGAGAAAGTTACGTAAATAGAGAAGCACACAGAGAGATAAGAGAGAAAGAGAAGAGGAGAAGAGCGGTGAGGCAGAAAAAATGATTTTTAACATTTCCAATAGATTGCGCCTGATTACCCAGACCATACGAGCGGGCACGTGCAGTTCTGCACGCAGATAACCGTGTGTGCATGAGCACGCTCGCTCATTCAATAGATTTCCCTTTGTGCGCGAGACCGAGAGTAAAGCAAAAAGAAGAGCGAAATTAACGGAATGAAACAATGGGTACAACCGGGCTTAAGGGTTGCTGCCGGCTGTGTAATGGAATTAGGTCCGATTAAATTAGCTAAAAGGATTTTGGGTATGTACCGAAGAAGCAAACTACGTTTTCGATATTATCGTATTTCTTTCTCATGCCTGCGGATACAAGCTGCACTCCATTCGCGTCCTTAATGCGATCCTAATAAGTACCGCGTAAATTACACCCACATAAGTTTCTAACTGAAATCTAACTGTCTTTTCCATTTCCCAAAAAGCTCATAAAATCTCTGAGATGTTCGAATTAAAAATTAATTGCTTCATCGTTTGGAATGAATTTTAATCGGAAATATACGGCAGAGAGTCGAGAAAAAGAACACTTCCCATATCCAATTATCACAATCATATCAGTTTCTAATAATCACAATTGCAAAATTCAAATATTCTGTAATAAAAAATTAAGTTACACCCACACAAGCAAACATTTGGTTTTAATTTTAAATATGTTTAGTCAAAAATATTACAAGATAAATATTTATCAAGCAAGATGTTGAATAAATCATTAAGT